AATAATATAGGACATCTGTTACGGACCTATTTATGAAACTAGGTGGTAGTTACCGTATCAATTTATTTTTATAGGTCAATTTTTTTCATTATGAGTATAACAAGAAGCCGCAGAGGACCTCTGGGATTAAAAGTTGAACGTCTTCTGTGACATGTACATTTGTATCTTTACAGCAGGAAATTGCACTATAATGCTGCAAGTGCAAAAGACGATGCGTCAGTCCTGCTATGTAAATATTCACAAGCTGTCGATAAGTTCTGTCATGCATGAATGCGCCGTTGTTCCTTGCGATAATTTTTCCAATCCGGTCATCAGTAGCTTCAGAGATGCAGCAGTTTTGGATGCGCCCACTTCAGACAAAAAGTACCCATCTGGAAATATAATCACTCCTCAAAGCTTTCTCGGAGAACGTTCAAAACAGCGGCTCTCACGCTTTACTGATTTTGCTCTGACAAGGGAAGGATACTTGGTGACCGTGGCCTTTTGTAATGTAACGTATACCATTAAATGCATCTTGAAGCGCTGATTCCAAATCTGTTTTCGGTATCTGCTGTGCGGTTTTCCGAAAGAAGTTATGAACATTTCTTGCCACAAAAATTTGCACTGTTTTTGATGCAGGATTTACCAATATCGTTAGAATATTCGCTTACGCACTACAAAAAAGCGTCAAAATAAAGTAAAGGTTCACGTTAAGCTCAGAAAAACTGTCTTTGATAAATCAGAGTCTAAAAAGCCTGGATGCTAACGATTCTGACTGCCTAAATCTCGTAAAATCAATATAGAAAAAAGTCCATAATTTCGTTCACAGAGTCGCACAGCAAATAATGAACATAGGTTTGGAATCAGCGTTTCAAGGCGCATCTACTGGTATACATCTCATTGCAAAAGGCCACGGTCACCAAGTATCCTTCCCTTGTGAGTCTTGAATCGAAGCTCCATTACTGACGTAGTCTACTATGTAATTCGCACTCGACGCACTCGACTTCATCAATTCTACTTCGAAAGTTGGTGATTAATAGAGTACTTTTTCAATCCATTAGAATCTAACCGTAACATGTTTTTTCTTTTGATCTCGGTCGTGTTGGCTTGCTAAAGCTATCATCTTTCAAAGACCGTAGAAGACTCTTCCTCAGACAACCGCAAATGACTCCCGGGGAAAGCTGAACTTCTAAAACTTCCGGCGCGGACGCTCCTATTGGGACGCGTGGGTGGGCCTCGCCCTACTTGGCCGCTCCAATAGCTGCAATGGCTCCAATATATGTCCTCCCGAAAGTTCTAGATGTTCAGTCTTCCCCGGAAGTCATTTTTGCGATTGTCTGAGTCTCTTCACAAATTGGTTTGCTAAAGCTATCAGCGTTCAAAGACCGTAGAAGACAACCAGTTTGTTCCTGTCCTAATTGCCAAAGGTCTAAAAAAGATATAGCAAGTTGTGTCGCCGGTTTCATCAAAGACTTCCTCATTACTATCACTTCGCACCACGTCATTCTATGTCTCACCAACAAACAAATGAGTCAGAATCTGCCGTTCCGTTCAAAATGGTCAAAGTTCGGATTCTAACTCGTTGACCGTTGTGATCATCTCCAAAAGTGTGCCATATAAGAGGCAGTGGCGTACCGAGGGGAGGGGGGGGGGGGGGGGCAGGGGGGCGGCGCCCCCCCCCCCGCCCCCTAGAATGGGTCGCAAAATTTTTGAAAGTTACTCAAATGTGTTATAAAAATGTGCAAGCGACTTATTTTTACTTTTGAATAGTTAAAATAATTTTTGAAAATTTTTACAAATAGAAATCAGCCTTGTAAAAAAATTCTAATGCCACGCACCTTCATTTAAAAATTTTTTGTCCCCCCCCCCCGAGCCGAAATCCTGGGTACGCCACTGATAAGAGGGTATACAATATGTACGATCCGAAATTCAAGAAGAGCCATGCAATGAACTCGTAACACTTATCTTGTAGCGATGAATCGGTACGATAAAATCGCGTGAACTCTGCCCGAGGCCTTAGACCTATACCAGCTCTTGGACGGCGCAAGCATCTTGTCCTTTATTTGATTTCCTCTTTAGTTGTATCGAAGGCCGTGGTTAAAGGCAGTGTCCAGGCAGAATCTCGACTTCTCTTGCCTTATGCAAGCCTTTTCATGGCGCTGATTCCAAATATGGCAGGCGAAATGTTTGCCACGTGAAAAACACAGCAAGGGCTGAGGAGAGTTCGTCCAAGGAGGCGGGCCTTTCGAGAGAATGGGCGAACGGCCCGCCCCCTTGAACGAACTCTCCTCAGGCCTTGACGTGTTTTTACGCGGCAAACACAATCGAACACATAATGTCTACCTGTTAATGCATGCTTTAGACAAAGATAGCATTGGGAGCTCTCGTCAAGCTTCTCACAAAATTGTGTCAAAAATGGGGTTTTTCGAGGAATTCACACATTTCGACTGCCATACTTGGAATCAGCGCCATGAAGAGGCTTGGATAAGGCAAAAAAGAGAAGCTGAGATTCTGCGTGGACGCTGCCTTTAATAACCTCTACGGTTTGGTGGAAGTATCGTTCCTATTTATGTTGTCTCCTTTTTTTACTTTTCTTTCGAAGTGTGGGATTTTTCCATCCATCTTGTAACTTGCTGTTTCCCTAGAAGACGCGCAATATATGGATGAAATTACATACAAAGGCTACATGGCAGTTCAAATACTGTCCCAAAAAAATGTGAACACTGTTTGATCGTTAATAACTCTTTTGCTTTCATGTCTTTCGCCGAGATTGAGGTACCATTCCGTAGAGCGAGCTTCAACTTAGATTTACGATATGAAGCGAATCATGATCGCTCTTCATTATTGTAGGATTACAGTAGGAACTTTGACAAGGATTTTGAGCCGTTGCAGCCCATATTCTGCCTCGGAAAACAAACAAGCCGAAAACTCACCATGCTGATGGAAGCCGCTGATTTAGAATATGAAATTTCCACTCTACTGTGAAGCTTCTTTCCAAAGTTATCCCCGGTACCGTAATAAGTGAACTCTCAGCATTTGTCAGAAATGTGATTACACCGTCGAAAAAGCTGAAAACACTCGTAAAAAGTTTTGTAATGGAATCAGCGTGCGCGAAAACCCCATTGCACGATTTTTTAGATTTTCTTAAATCATTGGTTCCACATGCTGAAAGTTCTTAGCGTAATCCTAGCAACGAAGACGATCGGCGATTTGCTCCATACTGTAGATCTAAGTTGATCCTCGCTCTACAGAATGGTACCTCAACTTGGCGAAAGAGATGAAAGCAAGGGAGTTATTAACGATCAAACAGTGTTCACATTTTTGGGACAATGTATTTTTGACTAAAATTTAGAAAAGTGCACGGACTTGCTCTACTTTACCTCACCTACGAGAGATCTCGGAGAGCTGAAAACTTATGCTGTGCTACAGTTGTCGCATGCTGGATAGAAAATCATAGAAGTAGAAAAAACTGATGAAAGTGATTTGACGTTGGAACGAACTAATGTATATTCTTAGAATAGTGAATATAGTATACAGGGTGCCCCAAAAAAATGTTTAGAACGTTTGATCGTTAATATCTCTCTTCCCAAGAAGTCTTTTGCCTTGCTTCAGGTACCGTTTTGTAGAGCTGGCTTCAACTTAGATTTCCATTATAGAACGAATCACCCATCTCTCTTCATTACTGTAGGATTACGGTAGAAACTTGAAGCATATGGTGTCAATGTGGAAAAAGCTGCCGTTTCAAAATTTTTCAAAAAATTGTGAAAACTTGTGTAATAGGGTTTTTATAGACGCTGAGTTCAATACTCAACTATTCACAAGATTACGAAGCTTTCTAAACGGTGTAATCGCACTTTTTATGAACATTAAAAAAAAGGCCGCTACCTCTCACCTGGCATAACTCTTCAATGAAGCATCGTAATAAGTTGGGAACTTTACAGTTATAATCAGCAATTCTAATTAGCCTGGTGTAAAAGTTTTCAGGCTGTTTTGTCTCTTTTCTGAGGCAAAATATGGCCTTTCATGGTTCAAAACCCTCTTTGAAGTTTCTTCCGTAACCCTACAGTAATGAAGGGAGATGGGTGATTCGTTCTACAATGGAAATCTAAGTTGAAGCCAGCAGCTTTACTTACTTCTTTGTACTTGATCAAGGTTTGTTCCATTGAGGAAACTGTCAGAAGTGATTGGAAGTGTTTGATAGGTGCTGCAGCAGTACAGAAAAACTGCACTACGAACCATGCGCATACGAAGAAGTGATTAAAGAGGCCTTGACTGAAGAATTTATTCAAGAATATGATGACAATCTCGCTCAAGGAATTTCGTCGAGAAGCATTCTTATGACCATTCATTTAATTGAGTCACAGCCAAAAAATCAAGGCTATTCCTTTTTATTTCATTATATGAAATTTGCGTGATTTGTCCTCTGATCGAGATCTTTGCTCCATTGATGTGAAGAGATACACGTCACAGTGTGTTTATTTATGACAATTTTGAATAATCGATTTTCACAAATTTGTTCGGAATTTCTGGTCTTGATCTTTTTTGACATCGTTCATGTATGAGTCGACTCGATTTCTGTTTTCTGACTCCATCCACTCAATCATGGATTCCTCTGTCCGAAATAACCGAAAAATGCAATTGACAAAATTGACCAATTTTTTCGGTTTGGTAAACACAAACGACAAGTTTCTTGCTAATTTATGACACTGCTAGCTTATTTGCACCAAAATAGTACCGCAGCGAGTCTTCAATTTCTGTTGCGAATTTTTTGCAGTTTATAAAAATCTCGAAATTATGAATAAATCATATGGGGAAGCATGGGCTGTGGAACCGCAACCTGATATTTAGCGGCCACTGCCTTCAAGAGGTGTACTTTTGCTTTTTCTTCGTTTCTATGTTTCAATTTAGGACAATTTGGGCAATTTTGACACGTTTAGACATGTGATGACTTAACGTGTCCTTACAGCTATATATAAGACGTGGACTCAGCATAAGTGTACTAGGTACTTGATATTGGTAGAGTTCCGTAATTTTATTAGTTCCTTTATGGCTATGTGAGTCTTCATTTCGAATATCAACATCAACAATAGCACGTATTCCATTGACTTATACCTTTTCTATTTTCGATTCTACTATTCTACGTTGAGCAAATATATCAAAGATATTGCTTTGAGTATAAAGGCACTGTCTAGGCAAATCTGAGCACTGGTTTTTTGCCTGGAAATTGATGAGGAGGTTCTAGGTAAAGCACTGACCAAACCGTAGCGCAAATTGTTCATCACGGCTGAGAAATCCGTCCTCAAACACTCCGCGGCTGTGCCGTGACCGTACGGTTACGTAACACTTAGGATGGGTCCCAGCGCGAACGTTGCCTTAAGTGAGAGAATTCGTCGAGTTACGGTCACGGCGCAGGTCTGGGTTTCCGGGGACGGATTTCTCAGCGAATGAACAGTCTGCGCTGCCCCTTGGGCAGTGCCTTAGTTGGAACCCCTCATCAATTTCCATTTTTCGAAAAACCCATGCGCCCAAGTTTGCCTGGACACTGCTTTTAACCTAGCATCAATATGCGACAGAAATGATGTTACCGTCACGTCATGAATCCTCGCTCAATGCTATGCAAACTTATCTTACCGAATATTCTGAGATATTTTGGCATATATTAGGTTGTCCGGAAATTAATGCCCGTTTCAAATTTCAACCGCAACAAGTCATACACTTTTCATTCTTGAATAAGTTTCAAAGTACCATTCGATAGAGCAAAGCAAGCTCTATAAGATGGCAATCTTGCTTTAGCAACAGCTTTGATCCACCTCAACTTTCGAGCCAAAAACTAAAATGATTCAAGTGCCCGAAAAATCGAGAAAAATCATAACTCAGTTCTTAAGAGCTTTAGAAAAATTCTAACTTGCCCACGTAAGCACTATCCACATAAGACATCTATGTACGCCGTTGTCGTATTTTTTCTTTGTTAAAAATCAAGAAAACGGAAATTTTCATGCTTTTGCCAAAGTGATGCTGTGCCGTCCCCACATAGGTAGATGTGTACTACAAATCTGTAGAAGTACAAATGCGGACTTTCAGCTCTTTACAAGCTTTAGTTCTCGAAAAATTTGAATTTTAGTTTGGACCACCCGACTAATGGGAGCTATATTTGATATTTCTCGGACACCAAAGCTTGTAAAGGGCTGAAAATTCACGTTTGTACTTCTACAGATTCATAGTATACATCTACCTATGTGGGGACGGCACAGCATCACTTTGGCAAAAGCATGAAAATTTCCGTTTTCTTGATCCCTAACAAAGAAAAAAATACGACAACGGCGTACATAGATGTCTTATGTGGATAGTGCTTACGTGAGCAAGTTAGAATTTTTGTAACACTCTTACGAATTGAGTTACGATTTTTGTCAATTTTTCGGGCAGTTGAATCATTTTAGTTTTTGGCTTGAAACTCGAGGAGGATTAGAGCTGTTGCTAAAGCAAGATAGCCATCTTGTAGAGCTTGCTTTGCTCTATCGAATGGTACTTTGAAACTTATTCAAAAATGAAACGTTTATGACTTGTTGCGGTTGAAATTTGAAACGGGCATTAATTTCCGGACAACCTAATATTAGGTTGCTGCATAAGTTCTGTCCGATTTTTTTGCCTTATTTTTGAAGCAGCTTTTCTACTGGAATTTCATCTCTAATGCAGTACTGTTATTATCGTTAGAAAGTGCTTTCCTTGCTCTTTCTAACGCATATCATATTTCAATAAATTTCTTAGTGTGCGGAGATTTTAGGCCTAAAATTTCTAATTGGCCGAGGTACGTTCTCACCGTAGAAATATGTTCGTGCGAGAAAATCTCCACAATGCGCCCTTCAAGTCAAGTTTTTTCATTGGCTGTGGAATAAGGGTGTAAAAGGCTAGTATATGCAGAAGTTCGGTTCCATAAAGAAAACGCTTGCTAGTAAAATTTATCGTCGAACATTGATTTTTTGTATAGATGTTTTACAAGCAATAACTTTCTGCGAATAAAAGTAATCGATCAGCTCAAAGTTGGAGGTGCTAGGGCAAAGCAAGAGCTAGCAGAGCCCATCCACCATTTCCATCAGGCGCTCACGTCAGTTGTAAAATTTTTATAATTCGTAAATAGGCATGCACACATGTGCTGAAGCGAGGTCAAAAAGTGGCTTCTTTTTTGCTCGGTCAAAAAAATCTCTCGACAGCGCAGACCCTATGGGCCCTTTCATGTTGCATAATAATCTACGAAAATTTCTCTATCTATCCATTGTTAGATAAGATGTCTATCAATTCTCATAAGGGAACGTTGCCATGTCAAAAAAGACTGGTTTGAATAAAAACGCTTGAAGTTTTTGCATTCTTTCTTCTTCCTTAACAAGGGTTTGCGCAGGTCTCAATACGTGTTTCATAGCCAAGGAACTGCTCAACACATAGAAACTAAGATCTTAGAAAAAAGTTGACTTTGAAAGAAGTTCGGACAGAGCTTATGCAGCAACATAATAGTTTGATTGGAGGAAGCTTGGAGTAACACAAATATTCGATATGCGTAAATCATTGTTTTGCAAGTGTGCAGAACCAGCAAATTTACCCCGTTCCATGAGCTCTTATAAAATTAATATTTTTCCCGAAAAGCTAGTTTGAGGTTCGGCCATTACTGACCCGATCTCGCCACTTTTCCGCTGTTGTATGTATTATAAGTCTTGCAGTCTCATTCCCCCATTGTAAATAGAATAAAGTCACCTCTTCAATCACTTTGCGAGGTTGCGTACGGAGAATGAGACTGCAATGACAACTGTATTAACATTCAACACCTATAGTAACAGTAACAGCTGTGACTTGTGGGCATACTTCATACAGTAATCTTTAGTTTCTGGCAGAGCTTTAGAAAATCAAGTTTCGCTATTTGCTCAGCTGGAAATTAGAAGGGAAGCGCGGTCGTTAACGAGACTGCTGAGTTTGTTTGTGCACTACAAACTTCACTAGATTATAAAGATAGTCCAGTAGATTCGAGTGTTGAATGAATGCACTGTAGTGTTGTTTGAGTACGAACGTTGTCGTGCGGAGCAAAACTTAAGAATGTGCGCTCTATAATCATTTCTTTAGCGCGCATTGTGGTCGACAAAACTGGCACGTTATAGTAACCGTCAATCTGGTAGAACATACATTTAGAAAATAACCTTTACATGATCTCTAGCATCAACGAAATAGAATTATTGCAACGTACCCATATTTAAGAGGTATATATCAACCGCATAATATGCACATTTTGTACGCGTACCTTGAGAAAAAACCTAAGATGGCTTACCAAAATGGATTTCAAGCACAATTCTATTGATGACTACGACCACTGATCTGATTCATTGTGGTAGAATTACGCTTTTCTAAGTGCGGTTTGCACCTTGCGCGCATGGACTTTTTTGGGAAACAATTTTACCTCATTTCGAGTGGCCATCGACGCGACGTTTAGGAGCAGATATACCGAAAAAGATTGTGGGGCGATTTTCCAGTTTGTCTCGTAAACTTTTTGTACAAGTAATCCCTCCGCCAATGTGATTATTTCCAAATCTGGTCCTCGCTCCTCTTCTAATCTCTCGCTCTATTTCTCCTCCAATAGTTGCTTTTGTGCTGTTTCATCGTGCGTAGCGCTTAGCGAGGTTGAGGGAGAACAGGTTTCATCGGTAGTGAACGGACAGCCTACTCCCCTCGTCCTGTTCCTGCTTACACGTGACAACAGCTTCTTTTTTCCATAAGAGTCTGAGTCGAACTTCGACCCTGATCTTCGCCTTTTCACAGTAATTTATCCTTGGAAATGTCACCTTGAAAGAGGCAACAATAACTTGAATCTCGACATCGTAGTGCAATGGCATTGTGATCGCACGTTTCACGCATTTTTTTGTGGTTGACCGTATAACGACCGATTCACGTCGCATTAGGTGGTCGTTGTGGTGTTCGCTACAAAGTAGTCAGGTTTTTCAAGTGCCTCGTGAAAATAATCGTCATCATTGTCGTGATTAATGCGGTGTATTGGAGATTTAAAATTTCTTTGTATGGACAACTAGGTTATTCTTGTTTGATAATTTTGTCAGATGATCTTGAATTCGATGTGTTTCGGTCCAAAAAAATTGTTTAACATTGGATTGGTGACGTCCTTCATTTATCCTCCCTTATATATCCCTAATTCATAATTTTTTCACGGCCTCACCCATTTAGTTATTTTGGGCTTTGATTCTTTAACTCCTCGCTTTTATCTTCACCCCAACGCTGGAAAATTCATTCGGAGCTTGTTTGGGGCTCCAGCGAACTCCTCGATATTGACAATTTGTAAACCAAATGTCGTGTTCCAAATTTTCACACTGGCTGCTCCCATCAAAGGCGCAGGTAGCCTTTTTTGGCTTCCTTCCCTATCTTGAAAGTGAGTCTGCCGTAAGCTTCGGAAACAACGACAACTACCTCATTGAGCGTTGCTAGGCTACCCATTTGAAGAAGTGAAAGTTTTTATTGCTGTCACTTGATAATCAATGGATTACATCTATAAGTAGTTTTGTGGGATGAAGTCTAAAAAGACTGCTTTTTGTTCGTAGTTTGTGTGTTTCGATTATGTTCTCAAAGTGTAGCGTGATTGTAGACCTTCATCTCTTTAGACATCTTACCTAGGCAGAAAGAAGGGAAAACCGCAAAGGATTTTCTATATCACGCTTTTGCTTCCATTTATGATTTTTTGATTTTTAAGCGAATACCGCAAACAACTAACCACATATTTATGTCAATCGACAGACATCCTTGCTTCATAAAACAAAAATGCGCGCTTCATTTTTGTTGGACATTTTTGACGATAGTTGCCCTTAACAGATCTTCAAATTGATCATTTATTCATCAACTGTTTTTTCTCGAACGAAAATGGTAACATTTGTGGAATGTGAAATGCTTGTGCAATGCCAGACCGGTTCGATATGCATTGTCATCGTGCGGTACTACGCTCGATCTGATTTTATCTCTATGGATTCGATAATTTATAGCAGCGCGTACATAAAATTAGGTTTTTGCTTCTGAT